GGGGGGGGGACATTGGGGCAGCAGACAGCAGTGGGAGCAGTTGGGGCGAGCAGGCCGTTGGTTAGGGGCAATTCAGCCAGGCAATCAGGCAGGCAGGTGAGCGGTTAGGAGCCAGCAGTCCCGGTTTGTGAGAGGGATGTCTGACTGCCGGTTTAGGCCCAATCCCTGTAAACCCGGCAGTAGGACATCCTTCGAGGAGTCCCGGATTGGAGAGGGTGCAGGCCGGGCTGAGGAACACCCCTCCCCCGTGCACGAATTTCGTGCACCGGGCCACTAGTACATATATAAAAGCCTAAGCAACCGTTTGACTGTTCAACCAGTAGCTATGACACGCACTGACCTCCAGGGGGTAGGCGCTCAATGCATAGGCATGGAACAGACTGATGAATTTCAGAGGGGAGGGGGGAAGAGATTAACCAAAGATCTTATATGCATAGTAGAGGCCCTCTTGCAATCTGGGACCCCTCACGGGATATTGGACTGCTGGTTTCGGCCCGATCCCCGCAGGCCAGGCCGTGGGACCCCACCAGTGCACAAATCCGTGCACCAGGACTCTAGTTATCTACACTAATAAAAGACAAAGATGCTAATTGACCATACCTTCGCTACCCCCACCAGCCAATCAGAGCGGCTATATGCAAATTAACCCAACCAAGGTGGCGGTTAATTTGCATATACCGGCTGGAGGCGAAGACTGAAGACAATGTGGAAGCGAAGCGTTACAGAAGGGAGCAAAGTAGAGGTGGCGGAGACAGGAACGGAGCCAAGGCGGCGGAGGCGGGAGGTGGGAGGGACACCAGCCGGGTGGCGGAGCGGGAGGGAAACAACCAGCCGCATGGCGGAGCGGGAGGGAGGGAAAAACCCAGCTGCGCGGCGGAGTGGGAGCCGCAGGATGCCCTATTCTTGCAAGAATCTTCCTGCAACGGGCCTCTAGTTAAGATAATAAAAGCCTAATATGCTAAGTGTCTGATTGTCCATTCAGCTGTTCTACCAGTCACTGTGACATGCACTGACCACCAGGGGCAGATGCTCCAACTGGTAGGTTAGCTTGCTGCTAGGGTCCGGCTGATGGGGACTGGGCAAGACGGGCTGGACACGCCCTGGATGAATCTGTGCACCGGGCTGGTTTCGGCCCGATCCCTGCAGGCCAGGCCAAGGGACCCTATTGGTACACAAATCTGTGCACTGGGCCTCTAGTATTACGATAATGGTGAGGAATTGACATTTTCTTGCTGGCCAGGGTGAACCACGAGGTATCTTTTCTTCATATTTTGCATTTAGGGCTGAAAATTCAAGTATAGTATGGGAAATATGTGACTTTTCAGAGACATTTGGGAAAGGGACTTAGAAATTTTCATTGTTTCTAACCTTAGTTTAAGCCATCAATTTGATGTCACTACCAGATAGGATCTTGCATTCTTTGGCTACATTAATAGTGGTATTGTTTTCAGAATAAGGAACATTGTTATTTAAAGAATAAGTACAAATTATAGGGAAAATAGTAAAAATTCCAGTGGAGAAATTTGCAAAGGATTTGAACAGATAAATCACAAACATATTTTGACTTGAAAAAAACCTCAGAACAATTAAAATAGCAAGGTTCTATTCTTTACCTATTAATATAGCAACAGTTTTTTATAAAGCTTTCCAGTGTAGTGGTTGTCAGGCTGACCTGGATTTGCATCCTGGCTTTGCCCTTAACTCGCTGTGTAATTTCGATTGATATTTCCAGATTTCTCTTCTTATTAATTAGATTAGGTATAGATCAGGGGTCCTCAAACTTTTTAAACGGGGGGCCAGTTCACTGTCCCTCAGACCGTTGGAGGGCCGGACTATAGTTTAAAAAAAAACTATGAACAAATTCCTATGCACACTGCACATATCTTATTTTGAAGTAAAAAAACAAAACGGGAACAAATACAATATTTGTATTTGCATGTGGCCTGCGGGCCGTAGTTTGAGGACCCCTGATATAGATTTTAAGAATACCTACCTCAGAGGGATTGTTGTTGACCATTGCATGAACTGAAATGTACTTCAGCACATTATAAATACTTTCAAGAAGATGTTAGCGTTTTTGGAGCGTCATTGGATGCACCAAAAGGTCATCAGTTCAATTCCCAGTCAGGAGCATGTGCCCAGGTTGTGGGATCGATCCCCAGTCTGGATGTGTACAGGAGGCAACCAATCATTGTTTCTCCCTCCCTCTCCCCCTCCCTCTCTAAAAATCAACTTTAAAAACACAACACATTTTAAATGTTGCTTGTGTTGCCAATGGCACTGAAAATTGGTACGGTCCTTTTGAACCATAACTTGATAGCTGTAAAAAATGCTCATAACTGGTAATTCCACATTGAGACTAAGGAAATACTTCAAAATATGGAAGAAGTTACATTTATTTAATCATTCAGCACATTTCTCAAACCTCCCTACTACATATCAGGTACATCTAGGTACTTAGGATACAGTAGTATATGTTTTGAGATGTTAAACCCAGAGTTATTTAATGATGAAAAAGTAGGTAACATCTTACATTTCTAACAGTGAAGAATAGCTGGGTAAATTATGTCCATACTGTGACATTTTATAAAGCCATGAGGAGTGTTAGCTCACTTATGCTAAGTAAAGATAATAGGTTATGATTTAACAGCAAAAAAAAAAAAAAATTCTAGGGGAAAAAGATCAAAAAGGAAATATTAATCTAACTAGGTTAGGTAGGATTGAGAGTTAGGGGGCAGAGAGCATTATTTTTCTTTTCTCAGATTTCAAATTTCTTTTGTATGATTATATTCGATTTACTGATCTTTTGAGACAATTAGATTTAAATCTTAATTTTCTAAATTTGTTGCATGTACCATAGTTAGAGTTTCATGCTTTATAATTAATTTATCTATTTCTTTATAAAGTGAAAGCAGCTTTATGTTTTCAGAAGTAAATAGCTTGTTCTGTTTCGTGCCAACCTGCCATTCTTGGAAAGAAAGTATCTGATTAGGACAGTCGGGCACTTACCTCTGTAGTAAAAGGTGGAAAGGCTCCTGGGACTCTGTTGTGCGCAGAGACTTTATGGTAGGTAATTTAACTGCATTGCTTTTAATGTACCTTCTAAATAACTCAAAGATGGATTTCTTAACTAAAAATCCAAAGATTAAGCAGTTCCTTTGCTAAGGTCACACATGTAGAAAACAGTAGATCAGTGCATTATTTTACAAAGCTCATTATATAGTTTATTAAAACTAATAATAGTTTATTATGTTTTGTTTAAGAAAATTTCCACAGAATCAGAATGTTTACCAGAGAGGCCATAACCCTCCTCCGCCTGGTCCCCCTGGAGAGGACTATTCACAAGGAAGGTATTCTTGGAATGTACAGCCAAATGCCAGTCAAGTAGTCCCGAATCAAAGTTGGTATCCTGGCAGTTACTATGGACTACCCTACCCAGCCTATTATGGATGGACCCAATGACACAAACCTGTCCTGGAAATCTGTCGGGAGACAGCAGGACTGAAGACAGTTGGAGTGACTTTTTATACAATCAGGTCAAATGAGGTTTATAATCTATTTTTTTCTACCTTAAGTTCAAACCTAAGGCAAAATTATATTAATATTTAACTCTTTGCCGTTAAATTTGCAGTATTTGAAATACTGAAGGAAATAATCTGTTGTTCCAGTCTTAAATATTTCAAACGTATTTTAGAACTGATAAAGTAATAAAGAACATCCATTGTACACAATTTTTAAAGATTCTACCTTTTCTATTCTATATTTTCTAAAATTGACTTTGTGTTATGAATGTGTGTATACAAAAATTTCTAGTAATTTTCTATTATTGACCAATCATTAACGGTATTTTTGTTTTTGTTTTTGTCCTTACCCCTAACTGTTCAAGATTTCTATTACCATCTACCTAAGGAGACAATCTCTTTGAAACCTAATCACTATTGGTAATCAGTGGTGGTATTTTTGTGATTAGGCATTTCCTTCTTGGGTAATCTCTTGTGGGATTTGACCAACTTCCTTTCACTGAACTGTCAGGTATGCCATCTAACACAGGAGTGGATAAACATTTAGGGATTGATTGTCAGTTGGACAAGAGACTGATAAACCAGAATGCTGGGTAATTTACCAACATTTGTAATGTTACCAACTGGGTAGAACTACTCAGAAACTTGAAAGCTTTTGTAGACTATGAAGGTTGCTCCGTGAACAGAAGAGTAAACGACACAAAGCCTGGGATATCTGGGAAGACTTGTATGGCTCCTTGCATTTTTGCTTCTCTGTTGAATGTAACTTGCAGGGATCTCTCTGCACTTGCTGCTCACAGTGCAGTAGTGCCTCGACCTTGATGCTTTCTAAGTGTTCTCTTATGCTGCTCTACCTCTAGACCACACAGATGGATCGCGTGGGAGATGTTCATTATTTTTGGTTGCAGAGGAAACCAAAACCCTTTGTTTGCTTAAGAAGATGTCTCAGCATCATGACAACAAATGCCTCAGTAGATAGTTGATGAAACTTGAGCCACTTGGCTTCCTTTTCTTAAAGCCTCTTGCTTTGAAAATGTGTATCAGAATGTCTTATACTGCATGTGAGAGTTATTTTATCTGCTCTCTTTTATATGTGAACAACATATTGAACCTGACATTAATGAAATTAGCTCAGCCAAGTTGCTACCCTTCATCTAAGTGACGGCTCCAATGTTTTTCTTTGCCTGCCACATTTAACAGGTGCAAGAGTTGTGGCTGCTAAAAGGCTGGTCCTGGGGGATTGTTCCCCAGGATACATCACGAAGGCCCACTTGGAAAGCAATTGGAGCAAGAAAGCTGGTGAGGCAAAAAAGAACAAGTCAGGGCAGGTGTGGGGATCCAGCTGGTCTCACAGTTCTAAGGAGTTCTTTGGCAAGCAGTTTCTCGGGGACATTGCCAGCAGAAGTGCCATCATATAAACACTGCCACCTTCAAAATGCTTTCTTTACCCTGTTCCCTCTGTCCTCTTCCCCTTTTATTTCAGTTGTTGGCATGGCTTGTTAAAATCTAGACTACATTTGTTATCTTGTGTCTCACTTATTCTTCAGCACACTGTATGCCTGGCTTCTGCTTGTACCCACCATTGAACATTTTCTGGCTCAAGGAATCAGCAACTCCCTTTTTAAAAGGTCTTCAGTGTTCTATTTAAACTTAAAATTTATTTTTATTAAAAACACATATGAGTAGTTTAAAATTCAAATAGTTCTACCAAGTTTACCATGAAGAATAGTCACCACCCCTGCTTTACCCGATAACCCCAAAGGCAGTCACTACGTAATTTTTACATTATCTTCCAGTATTTGCTTCCTTATCTATACATGTATCAAAGGCTAATATGCTAAGTGTCCCTCCGCCCATCCGACCAGTCGCTATGACGCTCACCACCAGGGGGCAGACGCTGTACACAGGAGCTGCCATGACACGCACTGGCCATTTACAGAGAAACGGCAGCATGGACCTGGCACTGACAAAGCAACACTCGGCTTCTCCCAAGTGGTACACAGGACCCGCCATCACCCCGGAGCGACAGCCCACCAAATTGCAGCTGATGCTGCCAAGATTCCATGGAGCAAAATGCGGCCCACAGCCCAGCGCAGCCTGGAAACGGTGGCTGTGGGCACTGGGTAATGACGTCCTGTAGCAGCTCCCGGCTTCCTCTCCCAAGCAACAGGCCATCTGTATATATAAAAGGTTAATATGCTAAGTATCTGTAAGTGTCTGTCCGGGTAGTGACGTCAGGTAGCAACGCTCAACTTCCTCTCCCTAGTGACAACTCGCCTCCTTGCAGTTTCTTCAGTCCAGGAACACAACTTGCTTTATAGCCAGGTGGAAACATTTCACACTAACCAAATGTCTGTGAAACATTTTCCCGTGCTTCATCTCATTTGATCCTCACAGAAGTCCTGGAGAAGTGATAGGAGACTCGGTGGAATCCTATTTTATTTTTATTAGTCAGAAAATGGAGATTTAGAAAGCTTAGAAACTTGACCAACTGAAAAGAAGTAAGAAATGGTGGACCTTGAAAATGACCAGGTTTTCTCACTACGCAAAATATAGTCAAACACTGCTGCCGTTAAATATTTTACCCTTTGTTCTCCCTGTGTGATCTACAATAATTGCTTTGTGTTGCTATTTACTGCTGTGTTGCTGACAATTACCGAAAAAGAAGTTGGGGTGCTTCACTGAGCTGGAAAAAGTTTAGCTAGATCAGAAAGCAGGTCTACCATAATTAAGTTTATTCTATATAAAAGGCTAAGTTGACTTGCCCATGTGCAATACATATAAAGCTCTCGCTGGCGCCAATTGCACGCATGTGTTTCGATCTGTCATTGTCAATCGTGATTTGGTTGACACTTCTATAGAGAAAGGGCAAATAGCGATATTAAAATATTTCTTCTAATTAATTTCCTTTCAATGTGCATGAATTTGTGCACCGGGTCTCTAGTTTAAATATATGCTATGTCACCACTTCTTGATTTTTCAATTTCTGATATTATCTGTTGACTTCTTACAGTGGGAAGAGAAGGATTTAGCTTTTTCACATCATCTACCCATACACAGAATCTACTTTTAACTCCTGGTCGAGGCCTTCAGTAATCAGACTCCCAGCTGGTTCTTTTTTAAATTTTTATTCAAAATATCTTTAATTTTAAAACACCCAGCATTCAGTACCAACTTAGAATCTAGATTTGTTTAAATCTCCCTGCCGGCTGCCCTCAAGTGCTCATAATCAGGGACAGGGCCCCTTTGAGAGTGGCATGGAGATGGGAAGCCAAGGGGAAGTAGGGGCTGCCAAAGACCCGGACACAGGTCCCATTTTTGGGGAGCCACTTGGGGTGCCTGAAGGGCTGGCAAGAACCTAGTGCTGTCTTGGTCACTGGTTGGCCCACTGGCCTCCCCTCAGCATCCTGTCCCCTCCTGAGGCACCATTACACAGATGCCAGGTGGGGCTGTGTCCAGGTGATGCCACGTGGGTCCTCAGCCCAAGAAAGGCAAATAGGCTGCTTGCCTTGGGGTCCAGAGGAACAGTGGGTAGGTTTCCATGCTTGAGCACATTCCCACAGGATAGGCTGCCAGCACACTAACTGCCCAGGTAGGGTGGTCACAGTCCATTTGTTTCGCCCAGGGGCTGTCGGGTGGTAGGGTAGTTACTGTGCCAGCCAGTAGGTGATGTACCTCCCGTGATTTCCCTGGGCCCGATGATCTTTACCACCTGCGTCAGGGTGAGAGCAGGGCTAGGTGGGGACTCCCCAGGCACCCAGGTGTGGAGGCGGGGGTGTGGGGGGCGGAGGGACAGCAAGACAGGTGGCCCCAGGATCCTGACCTTGGGTGAGAGGAGACCTGGGGGCACCCCTGACTCCAGCTGGTTTTTCTTTTCTTTTTTGTTTATACTGAATATGTTGGGGTGATACTGGTTAACAAAACCTGTTAAGAAAACAGGTTTCAGATACACAATTTCATATCCAGCTGATTTTTCAAAGCCTCCGCTATATAACACTCCACTCTTCAGTGAGCAGCCAGTTCCTGAACACTGTGTTGTACATATTTATGCCACTCTGTCTTTCAGATGGTTTGCATAGCTGTGAGGGCTCTCCTGTGTTCTCTGAGCAAAACATTCTCGCTTTTGAAGCCCCATCCCCTTAGTAAAGCCTTCTCTCCCAGCTGTACTTCCCTACCGATTTCTTTCTTTTTGTACAAAGTACCTTATGTCACTGTTTGGCATTTATTTCATTTATATCTCCTGTCACATGAAACACAAGTTCTAAGCGCCATCTCAGATTCCTTCAACCCTCTCCCTCTCCCCTGAAGCCATCATCCGCCACTTGGACCACAGTCTTTATTTTTTATTTTTATTTTTTTTGCATTGCCAGCTAACCTTTTTCGCTCCCTGAGCTGACTAGAGCCCGGGTTAAACTGGACCTGCATGGCCCTTACGACCCCCACATCAAGCCCTCTGTCTTCTCAGTCACCCCTCCACTTTAGAGATGGAGGAAATGTCACACTACAGGCCACAGGGCCTGGCTTCTGAGCTGCTACTGAAGGATGAGATGATCAGAAGTGTGAAGGCATCAGTTCCCAAGTGATTAATGGAACAAAATACAGGAGGAGCCTGGCAGACTGATTCCCCCTCTTCATCCCCCTTCAGTGGACTACTCTCAGGCACAGTTTTTCCTTTCAAGCCATCCAGAGAAAGGCAAGCCTGCTGAGTGCACACACGTGCCAAACCACCGGGTGTCTTGGCTCTGGCTCCTTGTGAAGTCTCCGGGAGGTAATCCCTGGTGCCATCTTGCTTTGCCTCTTTTCTCGCTTCCCTTTCCCGTTTTCCTCACCCTCACCTTGCTTCGGGCTCTGCTTTCTAGAGTGTTTGTCCATCAACTTGGCAGAGTCATAGTTTTGAGTGTTCAACCATGCACATGCGAAAGGAAACCACCAGAGCGGATTTGACATTGAGATCCTACATATATTTATACCTTCACGGCATATCGAAATGTCACACATCTGAGGTAACAGTTTTTCAAGAAGTACACATTGTTTTCACAACAGGGCAATAGTTTTTGGAGTCTGGGTGTCTTCCATGACCCATTTGTTCAGGTAACACTTCCATGGTTAGATTCACTTCAACAGATGGTATCAGTTATGCGTATGTGTGCATTGCAGAGAAGGTTGATATTCTTAGGGAAGTTCTCAGTTAACCCTCCATCAGATCAGTTTTTGAATTAATTTTGTGATGCATAATGATCTCTATTCCTCTGCAGCTGTAGATAAAAGGATCATCTTCACCTCTGAGATGACTTTTTGAAAAACAGTAAAATTCATGTTTTTTTAGTGTATAATCCTGTGAGTATTGACAAATGCATTCAGTTTTGTAGCAACAATTAAAAACAGTTTTATTACCCCCACAGCCCGAAAATTCCCTCATGTCACTTTGTAGCCAATTGCTCCCACCGAGGCAGACCCTGGCAACAACTGATCTGTTTTCTGTCCATGCAGTTTTGGCTCTTCTAGAATGTCATGTGAGTGGAATCAGACAATATATGTAGCCTGTTGAATGTGACTCCTTTCATTTACCATAATGCTTTTGAGATTTATCCATGTTGCCAAGTGGACCACTAGTTCATTCCCTTTAATGCTGCTAGTATTCTATTATATGGATACTAGATGCCCGATGCATGAAATTCTTGCAAGGGGCTTGGCCTCGCAGCCCCGGCTTAGTCCAAAAGGTCATCCAGAAGGTCGTTTGGCTGTCCGGTCTAATTAGCATATTATGCTTTTATTATTATAGATACCCCAATTTGTATATCCATCTACCAGTTGAAGGATTGGATTGTTTCCAGTTTTTTATTTTGAACAAAGATGCTATAAACATTTTTGTACAGATTTTTATGAACATATGTTTATTTTCCTTGGAGTGGGATTGCTGCTGTGGGATAAGTGTGTGTCTAATTCTATAAGAAACTGACAAACTTTTCCAAATGGCTGTACATCTCCATCGACAAATTATGAGTTCCAGTTAACTCTCACCAGGACAGTACTGTCAGTTTTTTTCTTTTATTCTAGCTAATCTAATACAGATGTTGTGTGGTCTCATATTTTTAAAACAACTTAGAAATATAATTGGTATACAATATGCTGTACATTTTTAAAAAATATTTTATTGATTTTTTACAGAGAGGAAGGGAGAGGGATAGAGAGTCAGAAACATCCATGAGCGAGAAACATCAATCAGCTGCCTCCTGCACGTCCCCTACTGGGGTTGTGCCCGCAGCCAAGGTACATGCCCTTGACTGGAATCGAACCTGGGACCATTGAGTCCGCAGGCCGTCGCTCTATCCACTAAGCCAAACCGGTTAGGGCATGTACATTTTTTAAGTAAGCAGTTTGATATATTTGACACGTATACATCCATGAAAGCATTACCACAATTAAGGTAGAACATATCTATTACTCCAAAGTTTCCTTGTGCCCCTTTGTAATTCCTTATTTCCACCCTAGGCCCCTTAAACAAGCAACCGCTGACCTGCTATTGAGGCACAATGTATAGTCTATCAAATTTACTCTTTTAAAGTGCATAATTTGATGATTTTTAAAAATATTTTTACTGATTTCAGAGGAAGGGAAAGAGGGAGAGATAGAAACATCAATGATAATCATTGATGGGTTGCCTCCTGCACGCCCCCCACTGGGTGGCCCACAACACGGGCATGTGCTCTGACCAGTAAAACAGGAATCGAACTGTGACCTCCTGGTTCAAAGGTCCATGCTCAACCATGGAGCCACGCTGGCTGGGGTAATTGGATTATTTTTGACAAATTCATACTCCCTGATAGCTAACACTACATCAAGATGGAACACTGGTTCACTGCAGAGGTCAACCTTGGAGTCCTTTCCAGTCCATGTCCCACTTCCCCATCCCTAGCAACCACTGGTTTTCTTTTAGTCACTCTAGAATAAATTTGTATTTTCTAGAGTTTTGTAGAAATGGGACCATACAGTAACATAATTTTAGATTTTTGTGTTTTTTTTTTCTGAGCATGTTTTTAGATTTATCTGTTGCAAGTATTGCAAATACCAGTAGTTCATTCTTTTCTATTACTGAGTAGCATTTCATTGTATGAATTTACTCTAACTTGTTTATCCATTGATGTGTTGTAGGGCATTGGGTTAATTTTTGGCTGTCATGAGTATATTTGTTATAAACAGTTATATATAAACCTTTATGTGGACACATATTTTCACTTCTGGATAAATTTCAGGAGTGAAATTTCTGGGTACAGTAAATATATTTTATAAATAATTTTTATTATTAAATAGATATTTTAAAGAAACTGCCAAATTCTTTTCTAAAGTAGTTACATTCAGACCAGCAATATGAGGGTTCTATAGTCTGCATGTTGTTCAACACTTGATATTATCAGTCCTTTAAACTTTAGTCATCATATAGGTGTATAGTAGTATCTCATTGTGTTTTAAATTTGCATTTCCCTGGTGGCTAATGATGTTGAGCATCTTTTCATGTGTTTATTGATCTTTCATATATCTTTTGTGAAGTGTCTGTTTAAATGTCCCCCATTCTTAGGTTGTTTTGCTTAGTCGTAAGAGTTCTTTATACCAGACTTGTCAGAAATATCAATCCAATTCGGGACATTCCGATATTTCCACGGTTCTCTCTGCTACTAGTCTTCCGTAAGTAGACTAAG